AGAGAGAGAGAGAGAAATACCGTACTCCGCGTTCTTCGGAATTGTTGTTCGGAGAGATATTCGCTCCCGCGGAAGAATGTAAGAAGTGTCCTGAAAGAAGAGTCCTGAAGATATGGCATCCGAGAACGAGTCGCCCGAGATCGATCTCTTCGATTCTTTAAGGAAAAAAATTAGGAAGATTGCCATGAAACTTAAAGGAGATTTACTACAGTTACATTTTGTTTGTAGATGTTTTTTACCATGAGCGTCCGACCTCCGCAGTTTGCCGATTTTGTACTTCCGCGACTGCGATTAATAATTACAAACGCGCTTAATTCCTAAGTGTTTGCGCGGAACGTTGATAACACATTTCCACCTGAAATATTCATTATTATTCAGACGGTATTACTGTAGAAGTTACTGCACGACACATTGAATATTAATATAGGAGTGTTAAACTGAATGAAAGTCCGTGAGCTTACATATGCATGATTCGTGAGTAAATCATTATCTTGGATCGTTGATAATTTTGCATCATCAAAAATAATTCCAAGATGTGCAATCTAAAGGATCCCGTGTATGCTTTTTGTTATCTAATATAATAATTGGGATACTAAGTCCACGTTGTAACGATACTGATTTTACAGAAAGTCTGGTGTCTATTAAACCGAACGTTTTATTGTTTTCGCGTCGGATTTCTACATTGTAGAGGAAAATCATGCATAGAAATACCTGTTTTCTTCTTCTGCAGTATTGCAGAAGAAGTTTCCAGGTTCAAGATAACCGTCTCGAGTCTCGTGGCGAGTTACGGGTTCATTCCCAAAGGTGAAATTGGAAAAAGTTTTTCCGTTTGCGTGTGGATGTTTCTGCGGGCAGTATCAATCTCGCGGACTTTCGGTATTTCAGACTCTGGAATTTCTATACCGTTGTACGTTCGAGATATTTTAGTAACAGATTTTTGATCAGAAAAAAAGGACCGAATGTTGTTTTAATATCGAGTTTTATATCGCTTTTCGTTCGAGTGCTTGTTATCGCGTGTCCAAATCCTTTGTCCATTTCTTTGCCAAGAAGAAGTGTACTTGTTACATTTCGCTCGAGACTCTTCCCTACAAACACGAAATTTTCGGTGTTCGGGGAATATGTGGATTTCGTCCACACATTGGAAGCACGAAGTGTAATTGGAGTTTCATGACAGCGGGGCTAATTTCCCTGGATGAAATGCTGGACCGAAACTCTCGGTAGCGAGACTTATTATTTATTCTTCTTGCCATATATCTTCGCGCATCTCCTTTCCTCCTTTTCCTCCAATTCGTAGCATTTATGACGTAATTTAATATGCAGAATATTCGTGATTAAGCGCGTTTCTCTCGTAGACTACAAACAATCGGAATTGTCTTTTTTCTCGGTGCACGTCAAGAACGTCGCGAGGAAAAAAGGATCGCGAATTAAGAAAACGTCGATACACGCCATGCTCATTTTGCCTCACCATCACGCTTTGTGCCTTGGAACAGATGCGCCGTTTGTTTCTGAATTTAAATACACGTATTACGAGAGCAAGAGGCTGTATTTAAAGAGCGGCATGGCGGGGTCGAGCAGAGCCATGGCCATCTCATCGGACGTTGATTAACGGCGACGGATGAAATCCTTTGTCCATTTCTACTTCGGTCGGAAAATATTTCTGGTCGTTCTTTGTTCCGTAGATGGCCTGTACGAGTGGCCTAATTACCGCACGACGTTTAAGCCAAAAAAAAGAAAAGAAAAAGATAATCGAGAAAATAGCCAGTCTGTCTCCGCGATTCTTTTAGATAGCGAATCTCTCGCGAGGTGCCTCATTTAATTATGACTCTTCACAATAGAGGCAATCTCCTCTTCATATGGGCGTTGTTTTCGCCTTAATTGTAAAAATGAAGAGACAACCGCGCTTTGTGTGTTGTTTCGTCGTTTTTCAAACTTTGATCTTCCTTTTGTTTAAGTTTATGAGGTCATATCCGCATCCTTCTTTCCAAACGCAAATTTAGCTCTATTTTTATATCTTCTTATAGATTTTAATATTTTTTTATGATTATTTTTTTAGGTTTAATAAACACACGCCATATGTAATATGTTTGAGACTATGTCATAAAACATATATATTTGATCGAATTCATCGGATGTATTTTATAAAAGTAATTTTGCACTTAATTACGTCAAAATTGATAAGATATATATATATATATATATATATATATATATAAAATACATGTCTTTTTATGAATAAAGCAACAAATTATTCGATGTAAGAAACGCGAGAAACAGACGTGCTCTTGAAGCAGCGTCTTGCGGTTGCTTATGTTATCTTTACAGAGCTGAAAAGATAGAGAAGAAGTATGAGCTACAACGAGAGGACCCATTTCGTCTGATGCTGATTCATAGCGGTTAGGCGTGCTCTGCATTATTCAAAGAGCGCACCTGACCGTATAACGTCGCGCGACTTTAAATATGGCTGCATCACTTTTGACTGTCAAAGCGGATAATGTGGCACGTCGTAACACTTTTCTTCCGGCCGCATCGAATTGTTCGCGAAATCGAATGAAACAGGCGCGCGAGGTTTTCCGCGAGAAAATACAAATCGAGCTTGCGGCCAGCGTATATTATACATCCCGTTTTACAAATTCATTAAACGTAATGCATTTGTCGAGATTGTTAATTTGTTGCTGTTACATGTTATTCTTTTAACGAGACAATTCTAGAATGTTATAGTGCTGCTATTAATAAAAGAAATACAATACCGAGACGCTAGATATAATGAAATTTTTATTTCTAGTTTAATTAATTACACCAGCTTATTCTAGCTAAACGAAACTGAATGTTCCGGAGATCACCGGATAAAATAGCAGGCAAGAAAAAACCTGTACCGTAATGTAACAATAAATTATTTTATAGAAAGTAATATTGTATACACTAGTCGTTACATTGAAATATTGATAAAGCGATAAACGCGAGAGTAAGAAAGTAAAATATAAACATCGTCTGTGCTAATGAGAGATTTGCGAAACTTGTCGCAAAGGAAGCAGTTGTGAGATAAAAAATAAAGTAGTAAAAGCAACGGGAGGCTTTTATTTAAATTCGGCTGCAGAGTTCATTTTTGCAAACGCGGAAACGGCTATACATACTCCAATGTACGAACGCAATCCTCTATTTCGACCGACTATTTCCGGTCTTTGCGCGATACAGCCTGTGCAGAATGCACCATATTTTTTTTTTTTTTGTTGTCTCCGATTTCATTGGGGCATTCTATGTGTATCGCTCGCTTCACGAAGTTACGGTAGCAATACGTGATTTTCTCGGATTTTTCTCCACGCATGTTTTGTCAGCGTTCTATTATTTCGCAAAGTGTTGGCGTGGGAAATGAGTTTTATACTTGAAACTGCCGAAGACATTTTTTTATCCCGCGTTTCGCACAGATGGAAAACTTCGCCAAGCAACATTGTTGATTCTTTAATAGTTGCTGCAACGAATGTTACACAAAAAGAAATATTTTTGTTCGAAATATTTTGTTTCTGAAAAAAAAAAAAAAACATTGTCGCTAGACATAGTTGATAGAGAAATGACTATTGCATTCGGCAAGAGTGCAACAGGCGAATATTTCTAAAACTATTTGAAGTATCGAAGGCAACAGATACCGAAAAAAAATGTTCAATCAAAAATACCTTTACATTTTGCATAGAAACCTAAAGGTATGTAAAAATATGTGTGTGTAAGTGGGCGTGCATGTGTATGAATTATTCATTCTTAGCGAATTATTCAGAAAAATTATATATATAAAAGTGTCAGCTGTGTTATTTATAATTTCATTTATGCATTAAATGAAGATTATAATTAATTAATTAGTTTTGAAGTTAAGTTAAAACTGCAATCAAAGTCTTTTAAGAAGTCATAAAATCTTAAGTATTAATTATAAACATTCAAACTTTTCGATGGTACTTACACCGATCGGATCTGTCTTATAAAAAGAAAGAAATCAAGTATCAAGATAAACATAAAATATCTTCTCAGCATTTCAAATAAGCATGTCTATGAACAAATGTCTATGGTCGTCGCTGTGTGAGCCACCATAACGACTGCGGCGATTTCGCCCGCCGTCGCTTATGCCTAAACGAGTGATCTGATTCTTTCAAGCGCTTTATGATGAATGGCGGATTCCTAAGATTGCACGTAGAGATTGCGGATGCTGGGCACGACGAGGCTAGCTCGTCTATTCTCCTCGAGGACGACGCGGCTTCTTCCGCACCGCTCTTCCACACCGCTTCTTTTTTTCTCCTTAGAGACCCCGGAGCGACGTAGTAGAGACCATCTGTCTCATTTGTTTCAGGTTCTGCCACCCTGGAAAGCCGCCAAGTCCGGGAGTATATCCTTCAAAATTCGTACGAACGAACCAAATGGATTGATCATGTACAGTCGCAGCGGAGCGCACACGAGGGTACGTATCCTTATTCAGTTTATCCTTTTAATTACGACAATCGCTGTAATCGAGAAAATTAAATGAACGGTAAAATATTAATCTTTTTTTTTTTTTTAATATAATTATAGAAATCGAGTGACCTTTTATGCCAAAAAATGAAATAATACGGAGGAATTTTGAATTAATAAAACCAAATACGTCTATCAAAGTACGATTACGCGTCCAACAATTATTGGCTACTAAAAACGTTTTTCGAAATAACAACTCGCTTTTGTTCCAAAACTCATTCTGGCCGCGGTTGCACACTCGACTGACAGTAATTTAATTATCGATGCACAATTCCACCCTCCTGTGACACTCTGACGATCGATGAGTTCTAGCGGTCATTGACCTTCGTGTCTGAATTTTACGATTATTTAGCATTTTGAGACATTCCCTTTTTTAATTTTTACATGTTATAACACTTAAAATAATTGTTTTTAATTAAATTAACGAAAAACGGAAAGAAAGAATGCAAAGAATAAATGTAACTATCATAAGCGAAATAATTCTTTATTTGGAAAAACGAATTAATACATATTAATTAATTAGATACACAATTTAAATATTTTATGTAATTATTATATTATATATTATTATATATTATATATATTTTTTACTAGAGAGAGAGAAAAAGAATGATAGAATATTAGATTTAAAAAAGTATGAATCGGTCTGTCTTATTTATCAAAGTTGACAAGTCTTTTTCAATGGCAAAACTTGGGTTACCATAATACATCTTCATTTATCCGTAATGCTATTAACAACAATGATACGCCGGTATATAATATATCTTCATCCATCTATCCAGAGTAACAGAAACTCAATAAATGGCGACAAAATGAACTTCTCTTTATTTTGCAATATAGATCAAAAATAGAAATCTCCTCACATTCGGTTAAATAATTCGCTAAATATTCAAAAAACTTTCTATTGTTTTCCTTACACAAAGTGAAAATATTATTTCTATTATTATTTCCTTTATAATTAAAATGCAAATATAGCTTTTCAAATTTACAATCTCAATTATCGATTTAAATAAATCTTTTCAAAAATCTAATAAAGCAACTATACTGACGTATTTAAACTTGTACGCACATGGGAATGGCTTTATTTTACATTAAAGCAGCGATATCGTAATAGGAACGGTCCGTTTGTATCTATTACAGCAAGATTTATTTGCCTTCGAAATTCTTGGCGGACATCTTTATCTGCACGCCGATCTCGGAAGTGGTCCCATTAAAGTAAGATCGTCAAAAACACGCGTAGATGATGGCATCTGGCACGACGTTTCCCTAAGAAGAGTCGAGAGGGATGGTCGCGTTACTGTCGATAGCTACACAATGGAATTTCGTACGCCAGGTAAATGAAAAATGTAACCCTTTCCGTGCAATACCTTATCTTCTCGAAAAATAGGATCGAATGTATGCAAGAAATAAAAAAAGAAATAAAACGTATATGTGTAATTGGTGTGTCGGAATTGTAAGAAGATAACACCGAATAAATATTAGTCGGTGGATAAATATCTTGTGATAGTTTTATATTCTATAAAAAGCTTGTTGATATTCGCTATCTAATCATCTCCTGATGTTACTCATTTTTCCGGAAGAGAAACGCTTAATATTCCTCTTGAAGCACGAAGTACACTATCGATGAATTCCAGATACCTATCGCGGCGTATTTATGCGTGCAGTAGCAGTTTTTCAAAAAGACCTCACCCTATACATAAAGTGTCTAACCCGGTCTGGCAGATAAGTGTCCTCGAGCGTG